TGTTTATAAGTACATTGGTGTATTCTTTCCTCCTTTTGATAGCTCTGATATGATATCGACTTTATAGTGCTACTTTACTGAAACACTATTCCGAAGGCACCCGGCACAGTATTCCGCCCGGCCTCATCATACTGACAATGGGAAAACCAGATGTCGCTATTACTCAAAACGCTGGATGTAAATCAGGGAATAACAACTGCTGTATGTAAGGACTTTGGTATGTCCTGGTCTGGGGAACGAATGCACTCCCTTCCCAACTTGGACGAACGTTCAACACCAATGCCAAAAGTGAGGTATTGCCCAGAGAGGCACTAGGAAATAAGGTTGTTAGGTGGTAAAGAGTAAATATAACGATCCAAAATGTTGCCAATAGGGTACAGCATATCTTTTTTAGTTTCTTTAATTTTCCTTTATAAAAAGTACAACATGTTCTAATTGTAACGGGAACCGTTGCAGATTTATCAAACTACAGTCGAAAAGCCAANCCCCACCCCCCGATTACCATACCTACCCTTTAGACAACAATCACAAGAATTTAGATAATAGACAATGGAACCAATCGCACAACCTTTGCACACAACCGTTTTCTATCCGTAACTGTCTCGGCATACCAGAGGCAGTAGCGGCTATGTTTGATATAAGATCGGAGAAGAACATCCACTTATGCATATCAGTACGCTTGTGAAGTGACATTAGTATCCGGCAAATAGTCTCTGAGTAAACTTCCGTAACCGGAAACAGGTCTGCTTTGGTATAAAGCATCCCCTTACAATGACGTTTGCTTATTTCGCCGTGGTCATAGAACTGTGGATGTATAAGTTCAATACCGATTGGAATGCTGCCATAGATTTTGTGTCCTGTCCTTCAGGTGCTGGGATGTGAAGACAATGTGACATCTACAAGTATGTGGGTGGTCGTATCGCGAAGTGGATAACGCACACGCCTTTCATCAGGGCAGTCGGGGTTCGATTCTCCGATCGGACGTGAAAAGGTATTGGATCACCTGCCCGACCACGTGGGTTTTCTCCCAGATTAAGACCCCCTCGCGCTAACATTCGGGCAAACAAGAGTGATTCATATCATGAGAAAATTACATGTTTCATAATTTTGCAAAATATTTGAAGTTGTAATTATATAAGGAAATGAGTTCTGTCGTATTCGTATTTGATCGGTTTTGGTTTAATAACCCTATTTGCAGTCATTTCGGACATGCCTCCTTGTGCGTTATATATGTATGCTGGCGGTCTTGTCTTTATACATTTGTCTCTCTTCGTTACTGCGGCTCTAATTCCGATTTTAAACTGCTGTCTCACTGAAATACCATGCCGACGGCATACAGCACAGCATTCCGCCGGGTCACATTATACTTTCAACGGGTGAACCAGTCATTAAACAGGATATAACAACTACCAGTTTTAAGGGCTTTGGTATTTCCTAGAATGGGGATTGAACCAATTGCTTCTACGCTCGGGCGAACGTTCAGAAGAACGGCCACAAAAGTGAGGTATTGCCAAGCAATGCGTTAGGAAAGAAGAGGTGGGTTTGAAGTAGAGAACAAATATGTTGCAGTTGGTGCAGCAGATTAATTGTGGCCGCTTTTAAGTCCAAAAGCACAGGAAACAAATGCAAAACCCAATTTCTGCAAGGGGCTCATATATTGGTTGCCTCGTGCACATGTGGGCTAAACAAATCCCCGATGTCTGTAAGTTTTACTTCAAGACCGGTCGATAAATTAAAGTACCCCATAAAATGTATAATAAGCCTAATTAGACTACACACAAAAAAACAACCCAGATTTGTTGTTTGTTTGAACGTCATACATAGGAATCTGAAAGCATCATGTAAATATTTACGAAGGTCATCTCCATGATGTGCCGCCCATCCTGGGTTGATATTATGTTGGAACTGAGACGTGTTACATGACTTTAATCCTTGGATGAACAACGTTATTGGGTTTCATGGAATGGCAAAATACATCACGAAAGTTCATATAAAACATTAGTATACATGATGTATCACATAGCAAATTCGTTTTGCGATTTCCAAAGAGCAATAATTTATGGCCAACTTGTATACATTTTATTACAAAGTTATTACCTAAAGCAGTGCTGTTTCCATGGCAACCTGACAACAACTAATAAAGATGCACAACTAGCCGTGGTAGCCAGGCGTAGTAAAGAGACCTTTTGTAGTTCATCGTAATATTTCATGAACACTTATTAGATATATTATCTTTACCGACATGCTCATTACGTAAACAGTGTAATAGAGAAGGCTAATCACTTCGAACATTAGATGATTGGCTAGATCATTATCACGTGGAGGTCGGTGAATTGTGGTTTAAACTCGGTGATACTAGTTTTAAATATAAATTATAGAAGGTTATTGGTTTCTCACATATTTAGACCCCGCGCTCTTCCATCCGGTCCTAGAAGGGTGGAAAGTTAAAATAACTTGGTTAATACTTTTTGTCAAATAAAATAAAATGTCCTTTTCAACGACTCGTTTGGTACGAAAGTAAAATACGCAACCCAGATCAAATCGTTCTACACCCTGCCTAGGTGGACTTGAGAGCAGACACGGAGAGAAAACACTGAATAACCACGGTGTAAGGGAGATAACCCGCACCAATACACGCACTCTTAATATGCTTTACAAGGGACAGCAGGGTATGACAGGACTTCTCATTTGACACGATTTCTAGCGTATTATCCATTTCCATCGTTCTATTGATTTGATCACGGTATATGGGCATATGTATGAAGTAATAAGCAATTAATCTGTATTTCTTGAGTCAACCGTCATACATTGAAAAATTAAAAAAAATAGAACTGAAGAATAAAATAGAAAAATACTTCCCGTACCAGCGGCGGATCCTAAACACGAGCGAACACGGCGTGACTACTACCAGAAATTTTGATTGCTAAATAAAAGTTGTAATAAAGGCAACTAATGTGGTTCCCTATGTTTCAATCAAGCGACTAATGTGGTACTCTATGTTTCAATCGGGCGACTAATGTGGTACTCTATGTTTCTATCAGGCGACTAATGTGGTACCCTACGTCTCAATCAGGCGACTAATGTGGTACCCTATGTTTCAATCAATGAAGACACCAAAATTGATCTGCTGCCACAAACCCAACGTTTTAAAACTCTTGTATAATCAATATACAACATTTGATGCACATCAAAAGAAATAGCCCGATTTTCCTCTGGCCCTGATATAGATATGTCAAAATGTTTAAGTCTGGTGCTAGGGCCAGAGGAAACTCGGGCTACAAAAGAATATGTCAGTCGCATAACGATTAAACTGACTAGCTTTCGTAATCTTCAAAATACAGGTAACAGCCTAGCTATCGGTAATTTTTTTTTACCTGAGACCAATCAAATACCCACCTGCATGCCTTGGAGTATCGAGTATGCGCTCTATCTAGCTAGAATACGCTTCTTCAAAACGCTTTACAGTACACTACAATTAATATTGTCAGTATAAACGTATAGCCCGATGATACATGGATACCTCTCTTAATTTGTGTTAGAGGTGCATTTTGTTTCGTTTTGCAGTGTTTACAATGCCATCTCACTTGTATTCTACAACATAGACACTGAAACACCCACCCGAGTGAATTACATGTATATACTCCACTTGGGTTGTTAAAATTATGTGGGCAGTAGAACATCCAATGCCACGACGAATTGGAGAATCGAGCCCCGGCCGCTCACGTAGAAGGTGGAAGTGCTACCTGACTCGTGTATTTACCCCTTCTTTGCCACATTGATATACAAATGTATCGTTGTCTATTTTAATACATCTGCCGTTTACCCGTCGTCAACAGTGTGGGTCTGTATGCCCTGATAAACAATCCAATATGTGGCTGTGTAATTCATATCCTACTACTTTCGAAGAGCTCTCTAGGTCAGTACTCACGACTCACTTTGGTGTTTAGTTTAGAGAGGTTGCATTGGCACATATAAAAGCATCTTGGATACATTGATTATCTGGCTAAAACAGCAGAGAATACCCCAAATACACTAAAGAATGTCCCGTTTGTGTCAAGGCCGACTAATTGTATATTTTGAATTGACGGCGTACAGTATTGCCAACTGCATAAAGGATCGCGTCCCTAAGTATTTAACTTATAAATATACCTTATTTACTCCACCGTCCTTTCTATTTAAAATTTAATTCAATAATTCGTTTCGTGTATAAAAAGTCAATAGGACGTGAATGGAGTAAGGTAGTATGTTGATTTTATTTCTCGATGGATTATGATCCAGTAGTCAATGTTTGTATGGCGGACTACCACAACATAGGCGCCGACACGACTACATACGGGTTTGGAGTGACACCCAGCTAACAAGCTTGCCTTAGGATACACCAACCTCGATATCCAGGGGTTACGCTAGCAAACGTGAGTGAAGCCCCTGGATATCTAGGATGAGGATACATGTATGTAGGACTCAATATTACTAAGGCCCCCAAACACTTTTGGTAACCTATTTCCTATTTTTTCCGCTCAAAGGTTTTCGGAAATTCAATCATAAACTACAGGCCGGATACTAACGAAACTTTACCCGAGCACTGCTATGTATTTTACATGTGGATATTACATTTCCTTTTCCCGGTCGGGCATCAAAAGCCACTGTGGCCTCTAATATGCCGACAAAGTTACGTATTGAAAATCGGTGTACGTCAAGGTTATGCTATTTGTCCCGCTACTTTGTACAGTATTTAATTAAAATAATGCTCTGTAATTTATGACAGCATCAGTAGCTTTGAGGACTCTGTAACATTCTCCGTTACAATAAGAACTTGCCTGTACCCGTTTCAGTAAAAGATAAAAAAAATATATATATATAAATCTTCTGATACAGATCTTGGTCTTGTCTGTAGTACTTCATAAATCCCAATCGGTATACACTCGTCTAAATATAATGTATGTGTGACGATGCCAGGGTGTGTTGTTTGGTGTTGACATTGTGGTCCGGAGACTGGGTACTGTTTGCCGCCAAGGTTAAGTGTGACAACCACTACCTAAAGTGATACATAGCTAACCACGTGTGCAGTAGTAACACAAGTCTGATACATGTTAGTGAATTAATAGTGTTTTCTTCAACCGACATTTTGACGAAGCACTTCCTTCATGTTTATGGTAAGTCTACGTAAATATTTTTCAAATGAAATTAGGATCCGATTTTAATCTGCATTTTAATTTTCACCAATCGTTTTGGTAGTGAATGATTTCACTAAGATTAACGTGTTTTCTTATGTTTGAAATAGTTTGATTAAATGTTTCCAATCTTTATTTTAACAAATTTACACTTTTAACATCTTAAACTATGCTCTTTTCTTCACACATGATATGGACGAATTCGGTGATACCAAGATGATATTTGTTTTTATAAATCCCGGAAATGAATATTGCTGTTCGAATTCCCACGTACTTTATGATGCCATGTTTACTTAAAACCAGAAATACTATGTAGACACAGTAAAATCAGGTTATTGTTGAGAATATAATCTTCCATAGACACGACGTTGTAGCATTCTTACTTACCACAGTTATCTACCCTCGTTATCAGAAGACGAGGGCTTATACTGCCTTATACTGATCAGTTTATGGAAAATCATGATTTATTCGGTGGTACATGAAGTCTTTCATTGTAGAATTTATCTATTCTACTGGTTTTTTCGTAGATTACCACATTTTTCGTTTTCATCCCAAAAGTATGGAATCATTCCTAACACGTGTCACGTGCAGTGGGTGGATTCTAGACAGACTGTGTTGACAAATTTATCACTCTCAAAAACGATAATTTATTTCTCCATACTTAAGCTACATGTATCTTAATGGCGCTTCATATACGCGTCATTAATTCTTGCCGAAGATTATTCTGTATAGCATTCAAGTTATACAATAGGCATTGTGTATACTGGTCGTGTGTTACAAAAAGGTCTTCAACACATTTCCTACTCTCGTATGTTTGACATATTACTTTGCAGAGCACGCGTATGTTTCCTTGCTGTAAACTTTGTCCCGGAAACACTATGGTCTTGAACTTCAACCTTTGATTGCTGACCTTTGACCTATCGTGATGCCGGTGTATCGGCGCTCAGCGACGGAGGTCGGGCTTCAGAGACGCAAGGATGCCAAGGCCAAGGTCATCGTACAGTTTATCAGGTCCAAGGTGAGGCTCACCTTACATATCTGTCAATAGTTGGAAAATATAAATGACTATAACTCTACTGACAAAAATGCAGATTTTGAATCCGACTCACAGTATCAATTTTATAAGTAGTTTCGAACATGGGTGGAAAGTAAATCTGCAATGAAGCTAACACTATTTTTAATCATATGGTCTGTGGATTATTTTGTTCACCTTTGGTTGAATCATTGACTTTAATTATTCTTCACATCCCAGTTGCTATTTGTTCGGGACGTTTGTTACAGGATAATCCGTGTATCACATCTGTATTATTGGTCAGACTTATATATCTATACTACATTTGTCCGAATCACTGTTATGCCTCACTGCAAATTTGACATAATACATAATATATTCTTACAACTATGAAAAGAAATATTTCCATAAATAGAATATAATTTGAATTGAAAGACTTAAAAATTGCAAACGCTTTCAAGCGTAAAATACGCTCGTGCTCAAGTGAGACTCAAACTTAATAGAAAAGTTCGAAAACGGTTGGCTTTTAAGAAAGGGTAGGTATGTTGTTTGATGAATGTGATCACTACAAACGTTACATTAACATTGAATCGGCATTGCAAACGTTTCATGGACATTGATTTTCTCTAAACTTTCACTGTAAATAAATCACGACTTTTGACTAATCGCGTAGGGGAGCGGCGACATAATGAGTAGAACTGCTGATAACCATTCTTATCACCTCTGAAGGAAACATACCTATGGTCGGGGTATATACCTGTCTACACAGGTAGATACACTCGTACTCAGGTGACGAAATCGTGTGTGTGTTTCAGCCTGTCCATAAGTGTTCGTATAAACCCGACCACAGGGGCTGGCTCGGCCCCGTGAAAACCACACCCTCCAAGTGGGCCAAGGCAAGAGGCGCGGTCATTGTAAGTACATGTATTATAAGCTTTTTACTAGTATGACCATTGTACCCTTCCAAGGGGAGAGGTAGAGATTTGTAAACAAAGGTATTCCTTAAATCAAAGTTATTTACAACATTAGAAAAAAAGTTTCATCAAATTACGCTAATAATTCGTGTTGGTCTCTTAATGGGGTAGGAAACCGTAGTAACCGGAGAAACCCCATGTATTGTTTCAGGGTGATGTAACTAATGAAGCCCCACTCTCTCATCCCCACCCCCTCTGTTACACTCCACACAAAGATATATTTATACCGTAACTGTTAATCTTACAATAGTGATATCAGACAGTTTTAAGCCTTTCAATATAGGATTATATATCCCTATACAAATGTATATTTATACCGTAACTGTCAATCTTACAATAGTGATATCAGACAGTTTAAAGCCTTTCAATATAGGATTATATATCCCTATACAAATATATATTTATACCGTAACTGTTAATCTGACAATAGTGATATCAGACAGTTTTAAGCCTTTCAATGTAGGATTATATATCCCTATACAAATGTATATTTATACCGTAACTGTTAATCTGACAATAGTGATATCAGACAGTTTTAAGCCTTTCAATATACGATTAATATCCCTATACAAATGTATATTTATACCGTAACTGTCAATCTTACAATAGTGATATCAGACAGTTTTAAGCCTTTCAATATAGGATTAATATCCCTATACAAATGTATATTTATACCGTAACTGTTAATCTTACAATAGTGATATCAGACCGTTTTAAGCCTTTCAATATAGGATTATAAATCCCTATACAAATGTATATTACCATACAAGACGTTTTAGTAGCTGAAACTAATTGTTTGTTTTCACTGCTCAAATCGAGGAACTGAAACAAGAATGTTTTTTGAATATTTTGACATGATGTATATTCAATTCAATTCAAAAAATGTATTGCTCATTTATAGTTACATGGTAACTTGAAGGCAAATTACAAAAAAAATATATACAAAGAAACTGCAATAGTGAACAATATATAAACTTACACGGAATCCAGGTCCACATAATTCTGGAGGTACGATCGTTATTACAAATATGTCACCCCCAACTCTACATTTCTTCGTCTCTGTCTCCATCCTGACAGGCGTTCGGACTCAAAGCTGGTAACTATCGTCCAACCATTGATGTGGCATCTTTAGTCAAAGCGACAAACAGGAGGGTACGTTTGCTTAACTTGAGTTCCTGTCATCCTTACTTATACGAAAATCTAGTTTATTCTATAAATGGAAGAACAGTAAGCTAAATATAGGTATAAATTTCATTACAATTCGACAAGATGTTTCGTCAATTGAGTTTAAATGTAAAAGCTAAGCTGCAGCAGGGACAGTATACGTCCCTGGCTACAGACACTCTTATAATTTATCTCATCAGAGTGATGCTGCTGTTTAATATAAATTGTCGGTTTTGTGAGTAAAGGGAGGTGACTCGTGGTTGCCTGAATATTTTCAGCATATAGCGTGCTCAGGACAAACGGGAATCAGGCACACGGCTGACACAATGACGTCACACGGGGACGTTGTTCCGGTGGAAAATCCACAGGTAGGTCTAGCGAGTTACAGGCCAACCATGGGATATTGTCCTACTAACAAACTATCATTGGATTGTTCAATTAAATTTATCTTCATTTTTAACCATTTGATAAAAACACGCCCTCCGGAATTCTATCCGGAAAAATGGTAATCGCAATCTCTTAATTATTCACGAAGGAGCGTTTTACGGAAAGTCCGAATTAAATTTTCAAATGGATCTTAATGCAAAAACTTAAGTACTTTTCAAAATGATGTTAATTTAATAACGGTCCCGTGTTTCGAGAAACTTTTTCTGGTAAATTTATTCACATTAACACTGGCAGATCTGCATTTCATCAGTCCACGCGGTACTATCAATATGATCAGATGCGTATGTTACCCCTAAGCTCTTACATATACCGATCTCTATTCTGGATGTAAAAAAAACACAAACATTTGTTCAGTGACTCAAAATGGCTTTTAAACTTAGTGAGATTTTCTATAGGAATTCTTATCCTTCAAAAAGTGTAATAAAACATTTTACATTGAATCACGTTTTGTCACATACCATAGTTACACCATAAAACGGAAACGGTTACACTTTACTTTACCCGTAAACTGTAATTTCTTTGGTTTACACGTAAACGGGTGTACTCTGATATTTTTCACCACAAATCGAGATCACTGTCACCGGTTATTGTGCGACTCATTAACAGCTCGTTCTAGTGTGACCTCAGCGCATACTATACCGCGTGTGCGATGTGACACTTTTCATTGGTTACTAACCGTATAGAATTTGGCGACAGACCATGCGCGTATGCGTCTTATTTTCCAACAGATCGTACACGTGCAACGCTCTTCCAAAATCTTTTCCCGCAGATGTTAAACAAATGTATCAAGGTTAAATAGACAAAATAGAATAACTGCCCACAGGCCAGAAATGATAGAAACGCACAGCTAGTGAAACAAAGACATTCAGACATCACGTGCGTGACTATGGTTAGCGCGCGCGAAAGAACAGTTTAATTTAAATAATTAGATTATCTAGGTCAGCCCTGCTTATCATGGGTGTATGGACACTTAGACAGACGCAGCCTATACTTTAATTACATTTTACTTGGTAGAATAGATTTTTCATCATATTTATGTTTTTATATTATGATGGACGATATACTTTATCGAAAATTATGGACCGTGCAAGGTAGCGTACCATCCTGATTTCTGCAAGGTAGCATACATCCTTAACTCTAATACAACCAACATGTGTAATGTGTAAGGTAGCAATTACATGTTTATCTTTGAACAGATGTCACAGATGTGATGTGGGAGGTAGTACATACCCCAAGTCGATATCAGAAAGATCGTATTGTACAGGCAGGAACGATATAAGTGATAACGATTAATGTAAAAGTTAAGATCACGAAGAGAAACTCTAACAGCGGTTGTGCTAGCAGGAAGGGTAGCGATGAAAGACAACATACAATCTACAAGTGAAATAAAGATTGAACATGATTTCAGGAAGTCCCAAAAGAAATAGTTATAAATCAACTTAACTTGCCGAGTTCAAGATGTGTTCCACAACAGCTGTATTCTAAAACCGTGCTATATAGAAATGCTAAGATCGAAAGACATGTGGAATATGATTTATGAAAAAAAGAAACTTAAGCTGCATGTTGTACAATGTACATCCATGTATAAATGTATATGCAAATCTTTGGAAGACGGAGATAGTGTATGTCTACAAGAAAGCCTGGTTAAAATTCTTTAAATATAATATCTATTATAACTAGATTTGATCACGTTATTTACTCGAGGTTGTTGTGAATGTCAGCTCTGTTATTTGGACCCAGCAACACCAAACCCCAGTACACACAGTGATAGTTCTGGGGCAATGGTGAATGACAGCTCTGTTATTTGGACACAGTACACCAAACAACAGTAGGTACGATGATGGTTACACAGGCAATGGTGATTGACAGCTCTGTTTATTGGACCGAGCAACACCTAAGTCCAGGACGGACAATGACTCATAATATTGTAGACAAACTGGTCAAGGGGGTTGAGTTTTCTGTTATTTTTTTCTTGAGTTATTTCCCTTTGTACAGTTGGACGAAGGTATTTTGACAATTCTTTAAGAAATCATCTGTCCTTTTATCTATTTATGTGCACTATAATGCTATGACCTTGAAACGTTCATTATATCATCCTTAGATCGTGCTCTTTTAGTTATGATAAAAAATACCATTTTTGAGATTTTCATTTTTTGACCTATATTTGACCCCATAGCGAGGCTTTGAACTTAACATATTCTCTGATAACTTGTCATGGAAAAAAGTAAGCCCAGGTTAGATCTATAAGAAGTATGAAGCGTTTATGCAGTACACAAATGCTTTCGAAGTTATGGTCGTTCGAAAAACATTTAATAACCTATATTTTTCGAATTGTGACCTTGACCTTTGACATTATGATCATGAATTTGTTCGCATACCATGTGTTCGTTGTCCTCTAATACAAACTGAAATATGAACGTTATATCTTTATTCGTTCTTGAGATAGAGTGTCCACAAGATATTTCGAAATAAGAATAAGAAATTTAAAGAAAAAACATAACAATATCAATAGGTATTTCCATCCGTGAACATTTCATTTCTAGCTGGTCAATATGTGGATGGTGAAATGCATTCGATAAAATCCGGAACAAATATTGTAAAGTATATGAAGGTCGTCCTCTGAGGTGACACGTGATCTTGTCAGATTAATAAAGCATAAATAGAAACAATGGGATGTGAAGTCCTGGTGTCACGAACTTTCTCATTAATGTTCAAAGATGCTTCAAAGATTTTTAATACCCAACTATTGTATGTCAGAGAATCTAACGTAACTTTTCTATATAACTGTTTAATGTAGGAAACACGCTGTTTTAATTGTAGACATGACTGTACATGTATAAACAACTGTATTGCCTAAAGGAAATATAAATTTTCAAGGTTAATTCATGAAAAATAGCCACCCCAGGGCGATTTAAACAAACCTATTTCAGGAAATGTAGAATTTATATTTCCCCTGTCTGAATTTTCACTTGATGATTGATTAACGTCCAATTTTTAAATTTATCAAACCGGTTACTTTGGAGGCTTCGTGGAACATAGCATGTACATTGTAAGGCTCCATGGCATCTGTATGTATCCGACTTGCGGTCAATTCAGTCGCATAAACATGAGCAAGTGCCACAGTTCTATACATGGACTATATTTGCATTCCAAATTGGTAGTTATATGTATTAGATTTGAATGTAAGTATCCCTTCATATTTGCGTCGTGTTTCTCACTGTCATGATCCTGACGTCGGTATGATAACGGGATTCCCGTGTAATACAACCTGATGACGCGATTTGCTTCTTTTAAATGCCATTACTGCAATAATAATATTATGAACGTTGTATTCCGTAAAGCAGCATATTGCCACGGGAAAGATATTTTCGCGATATCGAAGGTCAATAACGTGATCGCGAAAATATTGTCCGCAGGCCGTTTGCGTAATGTCGCCATGAAAAAGCGCGCACGTGGTTACAACGATTCATATACATACATGTAAAGAGAACTTATGCGTGAAGAAAGGTTATTTTACATATCTCATAATTTTGTTTATGATTTGTTTAACAAAATACTGTCATTAACCCTATCCATTTGACTATTTGATATTTTATATACCGAGTGTCCCCTATCTGTGCTAAAACACAACGAAAACTTCCAATGTCTACACCGCGATATTATAATCCGTGTAAATTTTAATATTGGGTCAAAATCGCGAAAATTAAAGGCCCGGTATATAAGTCACTATACAGTATAATGAAGTAATCAACCATTTAACCAATTAATGTATAAGCTATGTAGTAGTTAAACGCGCGTTGGCCTCAAAAGAATTCCCCGTTTTGAGCGGTAGAGTGGAATCTTCCCGGTGTGACATTACATGATGTTGTGTAGTCTACCGCTTGGCAAACATAAAACAACAAGTCACACAGGATATCACTTTCTCGGAAACAGGTGTAAACAGACGGTTTTTGGCAACCCGTAAACAATCCCAATTCCTGTTTTGAATTCCTAACACACCTCGCTGTCGGGACGGGTACAACAAATCTCCAGAATTTGTACCGAACAACAACTTTTCAGTGAATAAATTCTTACATACATTGCACGAGTGTTCCTGTATTTTTTAAACACTATTTAGAACCTGTCTTCATGGTTTAGAAACCGACATCACATACCTCGGCATGCTGTCTGGGTGATTCTGTATACAATCAGCTGGCAATGGTATAACGTAACTCCTCTTTAGCTTTAGTTACGAGGTGTGGCGATGATATAGCTACAAACACATAACATACTACTAATTACTGGGTTAATTAGAAAGTAAGGATATAAATACATCATACCTATGTTGGCACCTGTCTGAAACCTGGCTCCTGTCCTGTCGAGTTGTGTATAGAAACGAAGTATACCTCTGGACCAGAGGGATGGGGTCTATTTATTTGTGACATAAAACCGTATCTTCCTTTTTTATGTTTTTCAAACTACGAACAAAATAAATATAAATAACAAAATATCTGATTCCTTCGTGTTCACAAAGAAGAAATGAGTATTTCTGTTTTTTTTTTCCAGTATTGACTTTTCATGTTATTGGTCAGCTGCTTTGATTTAGCAGCCGAGCAGAGAGACACATTTCTAATGTCTGAAAACCAGTCTTAATTACTATCCTGTGACATATCCTAACTTCCTGTGACATATCCTAACTTCCTGTGACATATCCAAGCTTCCGGTTACATATCCTAACTTCCTGTGACATATCCTGAATTCCTATGACATATCCAAACTTCCAGTTACATATCCTAACTTCCGGTGACATATCCTAACTTCCTGTGATATATCGTAGCTTCCTGTGACATATCCTAACTTCCTGTGACATATCCTAACTTCCTGTAACATATCCTAACTTCCTGTGACATATCCAAGCTTCCGGTTACATATCCCGACTTCCCACTGACAAACCACGACTCTCCAGTAACATGTACTTGTCCTGTCGAATTCTGAGGAACTTTTGCCGGACAGCGTATGTCACGACTTAATTGGAAACTGAAACAGCGTGACGTTATAACGCATTTTTGCCATCAACTCAACTGAAAAAGTTCTTATAATGTGGAATTGAATGTACAATGTAACAATCTTCTAGGGGTGAATGAAGTAACATAATGTTAATTTGGTACTTGTGAAGATTATTTGCTGATTTAGAAGTTATATCTGTTATTTGTGGTGGAGTTACCTCCCTTAAAGCTGGTAAATCAGGAGTTGACCAACAGCATTACAAACAGTAATGTACTTTTTACTATTTAGTGTAGATTGTTTTCCATACTGTCTAGTTGTAACACATTTCATTGCCGTTTGCCATAGTTACATATATTAGGCACAGGCCATATAACTGCATATCAGTTTGAATGGGGATACCTTTTAAGAAAAGGTAGCATACTGCCTTAAGTGCACGTGGACTTGTATTGCACGACAGAGAGTTTGCACTAGAAGTGTGAAACAAACCGACTTCTGAAGTGTTAAAGGAAAAACACTTTCAATAACAAATTAAAACGTAGTTTATGTTTTGATTGCCTTAGGGTGAAAACATTTAATGTATATTAATGAAAAAATAACTAGAGATCACAGGGGCCTACGAATTAAGACACTTTTTGAATTTTACACACTTTTTGCGGATGTGTAGAAATTGTCATTAGACATCTCTACGATTAGACCAACGTTCCCACAACTCAAATTGCACCCTTACTGGTTGTGAATTAGTGATCGTGGAGTAAGAGTTTCGTCGGATGTTTTTATCCCATAAAACGTCTCGTCTAATAATACTAACTCCAGATGATGTACAACAGTACTGCAAACAGAACCTATTGACGGAGAATACCATCGATCGCCTCGGGGAAATGCCGAACTATTTTTTGCTTTTCCAAGATTTTCCCAAATTATCCAACGGGAAATTAGACAAAAAAGGGCTAACAGTAGAATGAGATGTCCATTCGATGATATTTTACCTATATCACCCAAACACACCAGGAGAAGATCCAAAACAGCATACTCGTGTGTCTTAATTATCACGTCCCAGTGCTATGGATAACGACTGTTAGGTTCAGTGTTGTTAACCTTTCCACACTGTGTACGACTTGTGTTTGATACAACATGATAAATAATCATTAATTAAGTGCCCACTTAGGTCGGGTCTGCCGTTCATCACAGACGCAATGCACGTCTGCTTCCTATCAGGAGCAAGGCCGGCACCAGTGTTGTCAGCTTCCATGTAGGTGGCTGGACCGACAGAGTCTGTTAAAAGTCTTTCCGAGTGTGTGGCTTAAGGTTTGGCTCGTTATATTCTGCCATTTTCTTTAATTGATGTCTTACCGAATAAAAAGTTTTGGCAGTGTGATGAACTTTTCAGAGTTCGGCTGCGGACACATGAATACAGACAGAACCATTGCGGACACTATACCGTATATACCTGCACTGTTTGCGATATGATCCCCCATCTATCATACGACCCTTCAGATGGCTGTACACATTTTCTCTTTAATGCCACCATTTGTATTGGAATAAGTAAGACTTTTATTGTATTATGGCATGGCCTTACATGTATCTGTTGATAAGTCGTAAACCCCTCAACAAACCAAAACAGTATCATAGAATCTGAATCATACCACGTGATTTGTAAAATCTTACGACATTTACAATGTAACTAAGTTTACTGTTTTACAGAACACTCACAGAACACCAATGCAATAATATGCAATTTGATAAGATTGAAATGATGTAAGCTAAACTTAAATACGCCTAGTTCGAATTTTCGCCACGTTGGTTTTCTACCGTAAAGCTAACACTAGCATGGAAAAGCGTCCAATTAACTCAGATCAGCTGCCAGCGCATGCTTATCATTAGTGACGTTTATGTAAGGATAAACGACCCGTCTCAGGGATAGGCGTATTGTCTTGTCATTAAGTGTGGGTTATAGACAGTCAAAACCATAAATCTATTAATAGACACTGCGCGTGTGTTAAAGAGGAGTGACGCTTTTGTTTGTAAGTATATCAGTTAGTACTATAAGGTACAAGGGTGTCAGAATACACGACTATGTTTATTAAACGGGATGAAATTGGCATAAAATAGCATTTTTTTTTACATGAAAAAAATCCGTGACCAGCTAATGTGGCATCAATTCCACCGATACTTTCAGTTCAGCTCAAGCTTATTGTTCGTATGTTTGTTTATTAGTTTTATGCTGTATTGAGACAAAGATTTTATGGCATTTTTCGGTAAAATGGTAAATGCGGTCAGCGATCCAGGGAGGCCAGCTTAGAAAGAAAGTGGAAGAGCAAAAGAGAAAGGACAGAGGCCATTATAGGGACTTTTTACGCCACGAAATGCTTTCGTTAGGTCTATTATTGCCCCGAACCATCAGTCTCTCATGAAACAAATAGAATGTCAGCTCCCCGTACCACCGCGAAACGTTAAGGTGGAAACATTTACCCTCCACGACACTAGCTTTCAAAATAATTCTGAAAAGAAACCATAACTTGCTATTTTTTATGAGAAAATAGTAAATATTACAAAAAAATAAACAGTGTTCTAAGAGAAAAAATGTAACAGGGCTAGGCTGGGATTCGAACCCAGGACCTCTGATTACAATGTGGCCGCTCTAACCAACTCAGCTATCCAGATCTCCGATAGCTCCATCACGTAGTTTCAATAGTTGTATTCGAAAGAAAGTTTACGGGAAATATCTGTATGCATGAAAAACTGCTGTGGAGTTTTGTAGCGTTTAGTCAGTAGTGGGACAAGGATCCTTAATATTGAATTCAGGTTCAGGTGTGATAGTGAAGCCAGATATTTGAGCTAAAAAGTGACCTTACTGGTTAGCCCGTTGATTCCCTTGGTCTTTCTGGTTAGCCCGTTGTCTCCTTAGGTCCCTCCGGTTAGCCCGATGTCTAACTAGGATCTTCTGGTTAGCCCAATGTCTCCCCTAGGTTCATCTGATAAGCCCGTTGTCTGCATAGGTTCCTTTGGTTAACCCGTTATCTCCATAAGCTCCTTTGGTTAGCCCGTTGTCTCCATAGACCTTTCTGTGAGCCCATTTTTTCCCGAGGTTTCTCTGGTTAGCCTATTGTCTCATTAGGATCCTCTGAAAGCCAGTTGTCTCCTAAGGCCCTACTGGTTGGCCCGTTATCTCCCTAGGATCCTCTGCTAGCCAGTTGTATCCTGATGCCCTGCTGGTTGGGCCGTCATCTCCCTAGGATCCATTGTACGCCTGTTGTCTCCCGAGGCCCTACTGGTTGGCCCGTTATCTCCCTAGACCTTTCTGTGAGCTCGTTGTCTCCCGAGGCCCTACTGGTTGGCCCGTAATCTCCCTAGGATCCCCTGTTAGCCTGTTGTCTCCCAAGGCCCTACTGGTTTGCCCGTTCTCTCCCTATGATCCTGTGCTAGCCAGTTGTCTCCTGATGCTCTGCTGTTTGGCCCGTTATCACCATAGACCTTTCTGTGAGCTCGTTGTCTCCCGAGGCCCTACTGGTTGGCCCGTTATCTCCCTAGACCTTTCTGTGAGCTCGTTGTCTCCCGAGGCCCTTACGGTTGGCCCGTTATCTCCCTAGGATCCTCTGTAAGCCAGCTGTCTGCCGAGGCCCGGGTAAGCCTGACGTCGGGATAATGTGACAGACTAGCTGTGCATGTACCGTTCTCAAGAGCAGTTCCAAGTCGTATATTTGAGGCATATTAATTTTCTACCAACTACTTTAGAAAATCTGCTTTCATATATGCGCTATGTCGAAAGGAGTGTCAATTATAATCTTTTTTCTTTTCGCTCTTCGAGTTATAGAAATGTGAATCAGGGTAAATACTTGTACAAGTTCACATACAAAATGTATATATTTCCTATGATACATGTTTTCCTTCTCGCAGGTGTTACTACGTGAACCTCCTCGTATAAAAAAGCCTTTCCGTTCAACGGAAGATTCGGGCGAAGGAGCAGTTTGGAAGACTCCAGCGCCCTGCCGACATTTGGAAGACAGGTAAGATTAATGACGACATTTCCTGAGAACGTGCCAACTTCAGATATAAATATACATGTATATTCGTGATATTTTGTATCACTTCAAATATAAAAATGATAAACTAATTAAAAACCTCTGTACCACTGCCAAAACATGGCGATATGAAGTGGTTATTTTTTTATCAGCATGAAAATTGCTCAAATAAACACAATAAACAGGTGTTATGAGAGTAAACAAACCCGGGTCATCTAATCACAAAATAATCGTTCTAACTTCTAGCTTTTAAATCGGCGGTAGTTGCCGGCCCATTCATATACAGAATGAAGTGACTTCAATAGGGGAAGGTTTCCATATGTGTGAGAAACTACGACGAAACTTTGTAGTTGTTTGATGCAATGGAAAAAGGATCCTTGATCAAATTTAAGGTCGAATGAGTGTATTGATAAAAGGAAACAGGAAGTACATCCCTTGGTGACAATCCAATGAAGGGAGACAGTATCACAATTTCCGCATATTCTAATGAGTCTAGAGTTGTGATGAATATTGTAGGTTTATTATTGACAGTACAGTGTGTTCTCTCAGTATTAAAGTATTTCAAAGCAGTCAAGGCATTAATTCATTTTTTATTTTTTTATCAATGAGTCAAATTTGAATTATTTTTGTAGTTATATTGCTTTGAAGTAATGAAAATTTTCTGCCACCAAAAAAATAAAGGTTGTCAGAATTTTAAGGATTTTAAACGGAAATTTATGTAAAAAGGAGTGAATTTTGAAAAAATAAAGAAACACAATTTTAGGCAAAATAATGTCAATAAAAATGATACTAACATAGATTAGTATTGCATTAATGTATATATATTTCATAAATGCTGAAATTGTGTAAAATTAATTATCTGTAAACGATTAAGAATTGACATTTTATAAAAAAAACATATACACATAGTATTTGCATGCAAGAGTTATCGTTCTCCCTACATTGCTATTTCAACGAGGGATGTCCTGTACTTCCTATTTCCGTTTAGCAATACACTCCTATGACCTTAACGCTCAGCCATTTAGGAGTGGGACGACTGGCCCGCCCGGTGTCAGTTTAATGTGACTGGGTGGGATGTCCTGCTGGGTGTCTTCGGCAGTATGTTTCAGTGAGGTAGCACTATAAAGTCGGCATCAGTTCCGCGCTTTCACAAGGAGACGAACACAAACATACCGCAGCCTCCGAAAACACACACGTATATACTACACGCATGCATCTGCACACCGGGGAGGCCGTCCTTAAATGACCATAGCTGTTGATAGGACGTTAAACAATAATAAAACAAACATAACCGTGCAAGTCGGGACAACATCAAACGAATTTGTGTAAGGTGCAGCACGGCCGCCGTAGGAAGGGCGACACGATGACTTATTTATGTTCTAGTCTGTGGCGGATTTATGAGCCGGCGTCAGGTGAAATTTTAGACACTTCCTTCATACTGAAAACATTCCTCCAAATCCCAGACACCCGAAGTGGTTCAGGCCTTTTTAAAGCCCGCCATGTGCAATTATAGAGGATTGTTTTTTTCCCCTATAAAGTGCACGAACATGTATTAAGAAGCAGTGCTAGCCATTTCTATCCAAGAATATCCCCGACACAAGTTGACATCAGACACATGAATGAACGTCCGTGTTTTGAGTTATTTAGAACTGGTTAGTTCAATTTAAGAATTCTATTATTCTACAAAACAAGGATCAGACAAATGTTTTGCCTCCGAGTTATGGAAGGGATGCCGTCACATCCTTTAATAGTACCGGACTTGATAAGACGTTTGTTTGGGGGAATAAAATATCCTGTTGATTTCCACTGGATGTTTTCGCAAGTGGCGACTCATGTGTCCCCCTCGTTTTTTTCTTCTGTCTTCCGCTATTGGGAAATTGAAGAAACCAGAATTGTCATGCGGCCCCCATAACTATATATTTTCTCTTCTTATATTCACGCCCATCAGACATTTCAATGGCGATAAGCAGCACCGGTCATACATTTTGAGAAATCAAAATACGGGGAAAGGTATAAAAAATGAAAATAAAACCCGGAAAAATACATAGGTTACCTTGAACTGACAACGTGTAGTGGGTCGAGTTTTAATGGTGTTTATTTCCAGTTCATTTTGTCTGTATTAATCGTTCACCAAAGTAGGGGAAGCAATGGGTTCTAAAGACGGCATCTGAATCATCAAACAGAAGGCAAAAACACCAATATATCTCTTCTAGCGCAATTGCAGATTGTATAGTCTTTTTTCATGTAATAACTCGATAAAATCTGACTATGTTGATGGGAAGTTTGTCCTCAAATAAACGTTATAGAACCACGTCGATCACCGGAAACACTTTATTCCTACAATGCGCATGACAAATACTCGAACACAATCAGTCGTATTCATAACATGCTGCTCAAACCCGGCAGCTGATACATGAAGCTCTACTTAAAGCACGACGTTGGCAGCTGATACATGAAGCTCTACTTAAAGCACGACATTGGCAGGTGATACATGTAGGTCTACTTAAAGCACGACGTTGACAGGTGATACATGTAGCTCTACTTAAAGCATGACATTGGCAGGTGATACATGTAGCTCTACTTAAAGCACGACATTGGCAGCTGATACATGTAGGTCTACTTAAAGCACGACGTTGACAGGTGATACATGTAGCTTAACTTAAAGCACGACGTTGACAGCTGATACATGTAGTTCTACTTAAAGCACGACGTTGGCAGGTGATACATGTAGCTCTACTTAAAGCATGACATTGGCAGGTGATACATGTAGCTCTACTTAAAGCACGACATTGGCAGCTGATACATGTAGCTCTACTTAAAGCATGACATTGGCAGGTGATACATGTAGCTCTACTTAAAGAACGACATTGGCAGCTGATACATGTAGGTCTACTTAAAGCACGACGTTGACAGGTGATACATGTAGCTTAACTTAAAGCACGACGTTGACAGGTGATACATGTAGTTCTACTTAAAGCACGACGTTGGCAGGTGATACATGTAGCTCTACTTATAGCACGACGTTGGCAGGTGATACATGTAGCTCTACTGAAAGCACGACGTTGACAGCTGATACATGTAGCTCTACTTAAAGCACGACGTTGGCAGCTGTTACATATAGCTCTACTTCACGCACGACGTTGGCAGCTGATACAAGTACATCTACTTAAAGCACGACGTTGGCAGGTGAAACATGTAGCTCTGCTTAAAGCACGACGTTGGCAGATGATACATGTAGCTCTACTTAAAACACGACGTTAGCAGCTGATACATGTAGCTCTACTTAAAGCACGACGTTGACAGGTGATTGCTCTACTTAAAGCAAGACGTTGGCAGCTGAAACAAGCAGATCTACTTAAAGCACGACGTTGGTAGGTGAAACATGTAGCTCTACTTAAAGCACGACGTTGGCAGATGATACAAGTAGCTCTACTTAAAGCACGACGTTGGCAGCTGATACATGTAGCTCTACTTAAAGCACGACGTTGACAGGTGATAAATGTAGCTTAACTTAACGCACGATGTTGACAGCTGATGCATGTAGTTCTAATTAAAGCACGACGTTGGCAAGTGATACATGTAGCTCTACGTTAAACACGACGTTGGCAGCCGATACAAGTAGATATACTTAAAGCCCGCCGTTGGCAGGTGATCCATGTAGCTCTACTTAAAGAATGACATTGGCAGGGGATACATGTAGCTCTCCTTAAAGCACGACATTGGCAGCTGATACATGTAGCCTTACTTAACACACGACGTTGGCAGATGATAGGTGAAACATGTAGCATTACTTAAAGCACGACGTTGGTAGGTGAAACATGTAACTCTACTTAAAGCACGACGTTCACAGGTGATAGCTCTACTAAAAGCACGACGTTGGCAGCTGATCCAAGTACATCTACTTAAAGAACGACGTCCGCAGGTGATACATGTAGCTTAGCTTAAAGCACGACCTTGGCAGGTGATACATGAAGCTCTACTTAAAGCATGACATTGACAGGTGATACATGTAGCTCTCCTTAAAGCACGACGTTGACAGGTGATAGATGTAGCGCTACAGAAAGCACGACGTTGGCAGGCGATACATGTAGCTCTACTTTAAACTCGATGTTGGCAGCTGATACAAGTAGATATACGTAAAGCACGACGTTGGTAGCTGATACAAGTAGATATACGTAAAGCACGACGTTGGCAGGGGATACATGTAGCTCTACTGAAAGCACGACGTTGGCAGGGGATACATGTAGCTCTACTTTAGACACGACGTTGGCAGCTGATACATGTAGTTCTAATTAAAGCACGACGTTGGCAGCTGATTCAAGTAGATATACATAAAGCACGACGTTGGCAGATGATACAAGGTCTACTTAAAGCACGACATTGGCAGCTGATACATGTAGCTCTACTTCACGCACGACGTTGGCAGCTGATACAAGTACATCTACTTAAAGCACGACGTTGGCAGGTGATACATGTAGCTCTACTTAAAGCACGACGTTCGCAGATGATACATGTAGCTCTACTTAAAGCACGACGTTAGCAGCTGATACATGTAGCTCTACTTAAAGCACGACGTTGACAGGTGATAGCTCTACTTAAAGCAAGACGTTGGCAGCTGAAACAAGCAGATCTACTTAAAGCACGACGTTGGTAGGTGAAACATGTAGCTCTACTTAAAGCACGACGTTGGCAGATGATACAAGTAGCTCTACTTGAAGCACGACATTGGCAGCTGATACATGTAGCTCTACTTAAAGTACGACGTTGGCAGGTGATACATGTAGCTCTACTTCACGCACGACGTTGGCAGGTGATAGCTCTACTTAAAACACGACGTTGGCAGCTGATACAAGTAGCTCTACTTGAAGCACGACATTGGCAGCTGATACATGTAGCTCTACTTAAAGCACGACGTTGGCAGGTGATACGTGTAACTCTACTTAAAGCACGACGTTGGCAGGTGATAGCTCTACTTTAAACACGACGTTGGCAGGTGATACATGTAGCTCTGCTTAAAGCACGACGTTGGCAGGTGATACATGTAGCTCTACTTCACGCACGACGTTGGCAGGTGATAGCTCTACTTAAAACACGACGTTGGCAGGTGATACGTGTAGCTCTACTGAAAGGACGACGTTGGCAGGTGATAGCTCTACTTAAAACACGACGTTGGCAGCTGATACAAGTAGCTCTACTTAAAACACGACGTTGGCAGCTGATACAAGTAGCTCTACTTGAAGCACGACATTGGCAGCTGATACATGTAGCTCTACTTAAAACACGACGTTGGCAGGTGATACGTGTAGCTCTACTGAAAGCACGACGTTGGCAGGTGATAGCTCTACTTAAAGCACGACGTTGGCAGCTGATACATGTAGTTCTACTTAAAGGACGACGTCAGCAGGTGATACATGTAGCTCTACTTAAAACACGACGTTGGCAGCTGATACAAGTAGCTCTAATTAAAGCATGACGTTGGCAGATGATACAAGTACATCTACTTAAAGCACGACGTTGGCAGGTGATACATGTAGCTCTACTTAAAGCACGACGTTGGCAGGTGATAAATGAAGATCTACTTAAAGAACGACGTTGGCAGATGATACATGTAGCTCTACTTAAAGCACGACGTTAGCAGCTGTTCATGTAGCTCTACTTAAAGCACGACGTTGACAGGTGATAGCTCTACTTAAAGCACGACGTTGGCAGCTGATACAAGTAGCTCTAATTAAAGCATGACGTTGGCAGATGATACAAGTACATCTACTTAAAGCACGACGTTGGCAGATGATACAAGTAGCTCTACTTAACGCACGACGTTGACAGATGATACATGTAGTTCTACTTAAAGCACGACGTTGACAGGTGATAGCTCTACTTAAAGCACGACGTTGGCAGCTGATACAAGTAGCTCTACTTAAAGCACGACGTTGGCAGCTGATACAAGTAGCTCTACTTAAAACACGACGTTGGCAGCTGATACATGTAGCTCTACTTAAAACACGACGTTGGCAGCTGATACATGTAGCTCTACTTAAAACACGACGTTGGCAGCTGATACATGTAGCTCTACTTAAAACACGACGTTGGCAGCTGATACATGTAGCTCTACTTTAAACACGACGTTGGCAGCTGATACAAACAGATCTACTTAAAGCACGACGTTGGCAGCTGATACAAGTAGCTCTACTTAAAACACGACGTTGGCAGCTGATACAAGTAGCTCTACTTAAAACACGACGTTGGCAGCTGATACATGTAGCTCTACTTAAAACACGACGTTGGCAGCTGATACATGTAGCTCTACTTAAAACACGACGTTGGCAGCTGATACATGTAGCTCTACTTTAAACACGACGTTGGCAGCTGATACAAACAGATCTACTTAAAGCACGACGTTGGCAGCTGATACAAGTAGCTCTACTTAAAACACGACGTTGGCAGCTGATACAAGTAGCTCTACTTAAAACACGACGTTGGCAGCTGATACATGTAGCTCTACTTAAAACACGACGTTGGCAGCTGATACATGTAGCTCTACTTTAAACACGACGTTGGCAGCTGATACAAACAGATCTACTTAAAGCACGACGTTGGCAGCTGATACAAGTAGCTCTACTTAAAACACGACGTTGGCAGCTGATACAAGTAGCTCTACTTAAAACACGACGTTGGCAGCTGATACATGTAGCTCTACTTTAAACACGACGTTGGCAGCTGATACAAGTAGATATACTTAAAGCACGACGTTGGCAGGTGATACATGTAGCTCTACTTAAAGCACGACGTTGGCAGCTGATACATGTAGCTCTACTTAAAGCACGACGTTCACAGGTGATAGCTCTACTTAAAGCACGACGTTGGCAGCTGATACAAGCAGATCTACTTAAAGCACGACGTTGGCAGGTGAAACATGTAGCTCTATTTAAAGCACGACGTTGACAGGTGATATATGTAGCTCTGCTTAAAGCACAACGTTGGCAGCTGATACATGTAGCTCTACTTAAAGCACGACATTGGCAGGTGATACATGTAGCTCTACTTCAAGCATGACGTTGGCAGGTGATACATGTAACTCTACTTAAAGCACGACGTTGACAGGTGATACATGTAGCTCTACTTAAAGCACGATATTGGCAGCTGATACATGTAGCTCAACTTAAAGCACGACGTTGGCAGGTGATACATGTAGCTCTACTGAAAGCACGACGTTGACTGGTGATAGCTCTACTTAAAGCACGACGTTGGCAGATGATACATGTAGCTCTACTTAAAGCCAACGTTGGCAGGTAATGCATGTAGCTCTACTTAAAGCACGACGTTGGCAGATGATACGTGTAGCTCTACTTAAAGCACGACGTCAGCAGGTGATACATGTAGCTCTACTTAACGCACGACGTTGACAGGCGATACATGCAGCTCTACTTAAAGCACGACGTTGGCAGCTGATACAAGTAGCTCTACTTGAAGCACGACGTTGGCAGGTGATACATGTAGCTCTACTTAACGCACGACGTTGAAAGATGATACATGTAGCTCTACTTAAAGCACGACATTGGCAGGTGATACATATAGCTCTACTTAACGCACGACGTTGACAGATGATACATGGAGCTCTACTTAAAGCACGACGTTATCAGGTGATACATGTAGCTCTACTGACAGCACGACGTTGGCAGGTGATACATGTAGCTCTACTTAACGCACGACGTTGACAGATGATACATGTAGCTCTACTTAAAGCACGACGTTATCAGGTGATACATGTAGCTCTACTGAAAGCACGACGTTGGCAGGTGATACATGTAGCTCTACTTAAAGCACGACGTAAGCAGGTGATACATGTAGTTCTACTTAAAGCACGACGTTATCAGGTGATACATGTAGCTCTACTGAAAGCACGACGTTGGCAGGTGATACATGTAGCTCTACTTAAAGCACGACGTAAGCAGGTGATACATGTAGTTCTACTTAAAGCACGACGTTGGCAGGTGATACATGTAGCTCTACTTAAAGCACGACGTTGGCAGATGACACATGTAGCTCTACTTAAAGCACGACGTTGGCAGATGATACATGTAGCTCTACTTATAGCACGACGTTGGCAGGTGATACATGTAGCTCTACTTAAAGCACGAGGTTGACAGGTGAAACATGTAGCTCTACTTAAAGCACGACGTTAGCAGATGCGGAATAAGAATATGTATAATAACATTAACTTTGTGCGATGTATTTGTTTTTTGTTTATGAAATCAAACATACAGCGCATGTGCATTGGTTCATGCTTCGACATCAGTAATGTTTTCTTTTATTATTACTCAAGTTAAGAGTTCTTCATTTTTAGTTGTACTTAAGCTTTGTTAGAAAGAACTTTTGGTTAAGGAAACCAGAAAAGACAAACAAAAAACAAAAACAAATCTAAAAATAAACGACCAGTTGAAAAAAACCTTAAAGGAAATATTGAAGTATATAATATTTTAAGTGTTTCGTTTTAAATGTTTAAGCTTGAATTATTATTTATTTACAATACTGGAGCCAGTATTAGAGGTTAATTAAATTACACGATTTTGTTTCGTTTTGTTATAGATCAAAGGTGTTTTTGTTTGACCGCCCTATACCGACTGAACCAGAAAAGTTGGTTTCCGCTGTGGGAAGTCACCAAGCCGAATACATGAAGAAGGTTCTTGCGGAAAAAGAGCGCGAATTTCAACTGTTACAGCGGCAGTTGATTAGGTGTAACGACGATAACGTAAAACTTATCCAGGAGCTGGACGGGTAAGACATTAACATTTATCATACCTCTGGTGAAAACCCTGTAATCTGATTGGTCGAGACAAATTGTTCATCACGCACTGCCACATTCGCTTTAACATTGAGTCAATGGAAGGGTGCTTCCCAACGCCCTAGCAACGGGTGACAGTGTGTGTGACAGTGCAAAATAGTGATCGCGCAAAGAAGATGCGCGTACGGTTCAGTCGTCATGGTTTTTAATATGATTATGTATTTACAATTAACCTCTTATTATTTGAAACGTCAAACTAATTGTCATTTGGAATTCCATGTCATGTTTTCACGAGGTGAATAATTATAGAAATTTTTCAATATGTCATTAGTTCTGTGAAGCCTGATCATACCTCCACCCAATGTATTCAAAAAGTAAACGGTGCCGTGGTATGACGTAGTATATATTTAATTCTTTTTTACAGATGACATTATGACAACATGAATATTCGTTTCCTGAGATCATTATGTCCTATGAGGGTTAACAAATTTCCTTGGATTAAATTCCATAAAATATTTAAACAGTTCAGGTTCCTTCTTTAGTCTCACAGTGGAAAAATATTATTTTATTATGTATACAATCATTCAAAACGGATTGACATAAATGTCAAGACATCTTTCCTCAGTGAGAAGGAGGTCTGTTCTAAGATAATGTTTCTAGTATTTGAAAGACAAATCTGAGGAATTAACAAAAGTTTCTTTTCTGAAACCCGATTTTGAGCCTCTGTGTTAAACCCGATTTTGAAATTTGCTTAAAACTGCTTACCGGATATGAGGATTACTGAACGTTCCGTTTCTAATTTTATAGATTCAAAGGAAAGAATTATGCAGATATGTCAAGAGAGAATACTATATTACGTGCAAACAACAGTCGGCTGCTGAAGGAAAATGTGGTTTTGCGCGGGAATGTCAGAAAAGATGGAAATACTGTACTGCAAAACCTCTCTAGAAAAGAGATCCTTGACGCCAAATACGCACATCGGGTCCAGAGTGTCAAACCTATTTTACATTGACCGAATCATATTAACTCTGTTGGCTGTTAATTTATTAAAGCATGTTTAGTCTCTTGCAGTTGTGTATTTATGGACATTGAGATAGTAATCATTTCTGGAGAAGGAAGAGAAGTACCGATTATCTCTGTTCAGTTTAATTCCCAGAAGTGATATTGACCGCATGAATACAGGAAAGGTTCCACACACATTGACATTGATGGCGGTGATGTCGTTAAAGCTGAGAATAAAAGCAAGAACCATCAATGCGATTTAATGAAAACAAAAAAGCTGCATTCTTTATGGAGACACCATCTCGAAAACAGGAAGTCGGTTATTCTTACATAGAGACACCTTATGGTACAAAGGAAAAGGAACAATGAAACATTTATACAAAGATACACCCTCTGTTAAATAGGAAGTCTGTTATTTTTACACAGACACACCATATGGCACAAAGGAAAAGGAAAATTGGAACATTTCTACACATATACACCCTCAGTTAAACAGGAAGTCTATCATTCCTTCACAGAGACACCTTATGGTACACAGGAAGTCGACCATTTCTACACATACACACCCTCTGTTAAACAGGAAGTCTATCATTCCTGCACAGAGACACCTTATGGTACACAGGAAGTCGACCATTTCTACACATACACACCCTCTGTTAAACAGGANACACCCTCTGTTAAACAGGAAGTTGGTAGTTCTTACACAGAAACACCTTATGGTAGACAGGAAGTCGACCATTTCTACACATACACACCCTCTATTAAACAGGAAGTCTATCATTACTGCACAGAGACACCTTATGTTACACAGGAAGTCGACCATTTCTACACATATACACCCTCTGTTAAACGGGAAGTTGGTAGTTCTTACACAGAAACACCTTATGGTAGACAGGAAGTCGACCATTTCTACACATACACACCCTCTATTAAACAGGAAGTCTATCATTACTGCACAGAGACACCTTATGTTACACAGGAAGTCGACCATTTCTACACATATACACCCTCTGGTAAACAGGAAGTCTATCATTACTGCACAGAGACACCTTATGGTACACAGGAAGTCGACCATTTCTACACATACACACCCTCTGTTAAACTCTGTTAAACAGGAAGTCTATCATTCCTTCACAGAGACACCTTATGGTACACAGGAAGCCGACCATTTCTACACATACACACCCTCTGTGAAACAGGAAGTCTATCATTACTGCACAGAGACACCTTATGGTACACTGGGAGTCGAACATTTCTACACATACACACCCTCTGGTAAACAGCATTTCTACACATACACACCCTCTATTAAACAGGAAGTCTATCATTCCTGCACAGAGACACCTTATGGTACACAGGAAGCCGACCATTTCTACACATACACACCCTCTGTTAAACAGGAAGACTATCATTACTGCACAGAGACACTTTATGGTACACAGAAAGTCGACCATTTCTACACAGACACACCCTCTGTTAAACAGGAAGTCTATCATTACTGCACAGAGACACTTTATGGTACACAGAAAGTCGACCATTTCTACACATACACACCCTCTGTTAAACAGGAAGTCTATCATTACTGCACAGAGACACCTTATGGTACACAGGAGGTCGACGATTTCTACACATACACACCCTCTGTTAAACAGGAAGTCTATCATTCCTGCACAGAGACACCTTATGGTACACTGGTTGTCGAACATTTCTACACCCTCTGTTAAACAGAAAATTGGTAGTTCTTACACAGCGACACCTTATATTACACTGAGAGTCGAACATTTCTACACATACACACCCTCTGTTAAACAGGAAGTTGGTAGTTCTTACACAGAAACACCTTATGGTACACAGGAAGTCGACCATTTCTACACATACACACCCTCTGGTAAACAGGAAGTCTATCATTCCTGCACAGAGACACCTTATGGTACACAGGAAGTCGACCATTGCTACACATACACATCCTATGTTAAACAGGAAGTCTATCATTCCTGCACAGAGACACCTAATGTTACACTGGGAGTCGAACATTTCTACACATACACACCCTCTGGTAAACAGGAAGTCTATCATTCCTGCACAGAGACACCTTATGTTACACTGGGAGTCGAACATTTCTACACATACACACCCTCTGGTAAACAGGAAGTTGGTAGTTCTTACACAGAAACACCTTATGGTAAACAGGAAGTCGACCATTTCTACACATACACACCCTCTGTTAAATAGCAGGTCTATCATTCCTGCATAGAGACACCTTATGTTACACAGGAAGTCGACCATTTCTACACATACACACCCTATGTTAAACAGGAAGTCTATCATTCCTGCACAGAGACACCTAATGTTACACAGGAAGTCGACCATTTCTACACATATACTCCCTCCGGTAAACAGGAAGTCTATCATTACTGCACAGAGACAACTTATGTTACACAGGAAGTCGACCATTTCTACACATACACACCCTCTGTTAAACAGGAGGTCTATCATTCCTGCACAGAGACACCTTATGGTACAAAGGAAAAGGAACAATGCTACACATACACACCCTATGATAAACAGGAAGTCTATCATTCCTGCACAGAGACACCTTATGGTACAAAGGAAAAGGAACAATGCTACACATACACACCCTATGTTAAACAGGAAGTCTATCATTCCTGCACAGAGACACCTTATGGTACACTGGGAGTCGAACATTTCTACACATACACACCCTCTGGTAAACAGGAAGTCTATCATTCCTGCATAGAGACACCTTATGTTACACATGAAGTCGACCATTTCTACACATACACACCCTCTGTTAAACAGGAAGTCTATCATTCCTGCATAGAGACCCCTTATGTTACACATGAAGTCGACCATTTCTACACATACACACCCTCTGTTAAATAGCAGGTCTCTCCTTCCTCCATAGAGACACCTTATGTTACACAGGAAGTCGACCATTTCTACACATACACACCCTCTGTTAAACAGGAGGTCTATCATTCCTGCACAGAAACACCTTATGGTACACAGGAAGTCGACTATTTCTACACATACACACCCTCTGTTAAACAGGAAGTCTATCATTACTTCACAGACACCTTATGGTACACTGGGTATCGAACATTTCTACACCCTCTATTAAACAGAAAATTGGTGGTTCTTACACAGCGACACCTTATGTTACACTGGGTGTCGAACATTTCTACACATACATACCCTCTGTTAAACAGGAAGTTGGTAGTTCTTACACAGAAACACCTTATGGTACACAGGAAGTCGACCATTTCTACACATATACACCCTCTGTTAAATAGCAGGTCTATCATTTCTGCACAGAGACACCTTATGTTACATAGGAAGTCGAACATTTCTACACATATACACCCTCTGTTAAACAGGAAGTCTATCATTCCTTCACAGAGACACCTTATGGTACACTGGGAGTCGAACATTTCTACACATATACACGTACACAGAAAGTCGACCATTTCTACACATATACGCCCTCTGTTAAATAGCAGGTCTATCATTTCTGCACAGAGACAGCTTATGTTACATAGGAAGTCGAACATTTCTACACATACACACCCTCTGGAAAACAGGAAGTTGGTAGTTCTTACCCAGAAACACCTTATGGTACACAGGGAGTCGAACATTTCTACACATATACACGTACACAGAAAGTCGACCATTTCTACACATACACGCCCTCTGGTAAACAGGAAGTTAGTAGTTCTTACACAGAAACACCTTATGTTACATAGGAAGTCAAACATTTCTACACATATACACGTACACAGAAAGTCGACCATTTCTACACATACACGCCCTCTGGTAAACAGGAAGTTGGTAGTTCTTACACAGAAACACCTTAAGGTACACAGGAAGTCGACCATTTCTACACATATACACCCTCTGTTAAATAGCAGGTCTATCATTCCTGCACAGAGACACCTTATGTTACATAGGAAGTCGACCATTTCTACACATACACACCCTCTGGTAAACAGGAAGTTGGTAGTTTTTACACAGCGACACCTTATGGTACACATGAAGTCGACCATTTCTACACATACACACCCTCTGGTAAACAGGAAGTTGGTAGTTTTTACACAGCGACACCTTATGGGACACATGAAGTCGACCATTTCTACACATACACCCCCTCTGGTAAACAGGAAGTTGGTAGTTCTTACACAGAAACACCTTATGGTACACATGAAGTCGACCATTTCTACACATACACCCCCTCTGGTAAACAGGAAGTTGGTAGTTCTTACACAGAAACACCTTATTGTACACAGGAAGTCGACCATTTCTACACAGACCATTTATACACATACACACCCTCTGGTAAACAGGAAGTGGACTATTCGCTATAGTGTTTACAAACAGCCGAAACCATCTGTGTATTGATATATGAAACACTTTAATAATATACATAATAGTTCTTCAGCATTTCTGCATTATCAGCTTTACTTTTCTGTCTTAAATTTATTCCAATTAAGAACTTGAGTACAAGAGGTAAAGACAACGATTTATTTCAAAGTCATGTGATAAACAAATAGCAAGAAAATACCCTGTTATAATGATATGTCGTGTAATTGTAATTTAAACAATACCTAATACATGTACACATATCTACATGTTTTAGTTTAGTAGTATTACACTTCGCCAATTTGCATATGGTAGTAAACCTTTTGCGAATCGAAAGTAATCTTAATGTACATGAATGTTAACAAGAAAGCGTCCAAATAAAAGCTATCCGTCAGTCGAACTGAAAATTGAGAAAACTATAACGAATATTTACAAATGACAGACTATTGGGAAAAATGTCAGGAGGATGAGACCAAGTGTTCTAGAAGTGTAAGCGTCATTTGCTTTTTGACAACACCCGCCATTAACAATCAAAGTAATGTTACGTTCTAAAGTTGATAACCGGGATAGCGACAAAGAGTATATTTATATAAACTTTATTTATTTTAAAACAATTATGAAACAAATTATTGTCACTTATATTGATCACTCTTGTTGGCCCGGATGTTAGCGCGGGCTGCCTATTGTGGAA